ATTTATCAGCACAGTTAGAGTAACTATTATCATAATTTATTTCTTGTAGTTGTAATACTTAGTTTACTTTTTATTTACTATTTTTCTTATTATTTAAACTTATGCCAGTATAAAGGTTTAGTTTTGTACTTTTGACTCCGCCCGCATGTAAACTTTCGTAGAGTATAGATTATGTAAAAAAAACGTTAAATCTGACTGAAAACAACAATAATTCTTATAAAAGAATTGAATAATATTCACTTAAAAACTATATTCAGGAATCACAAGCTAAATACAAGAGCTCAAAACCATAAACACTACCAACATAAAAAAATACTTTGGTTGTGAATATTAAATGAATATTATTGATACATGGTTGTTTATCTCCTGATAACGACGTCGTAAGAATTAAGGTGATAGCTGGTTACATATATTTCGCTTTTTAGAATACCTTCATTAAAAAATTTTATACCTTAATTGTTTTTGAGATAATGGTGGACTTTTTTATCCGCGGATCTTTAGTCCCCCTTTACCCTATATAATACATGAATTATACATGTGTTTTAGGCAATTTCCTAACTAACTGTATTTAAAGAACAGATGGTTTAAAAAAATGATACGCTTTTTTAATAGTTATATATTTTATTATTGATGGTTTCTAGGTACGAATTATGCAGCCAAAGTCATGCACGGTAAACACGAGCTACGCCAGTATATGCATAATGAGCTAGACATCATGAATGGATTGAATCACAGAAACTTAATCAGACTTTATGATGCATATCAAACTGATAGGTATGATATATCTCACTATTCTCGTAAAACAATGTTCAAATGTCTACAAATAAAGACATTTTTAAATGTCTAAAAGTTTAAACTACATTTATAAGAAATTATCATTTAACTCTGTTAATTAACCCGGCTATTTAGTTTCAATAGCATTTTATTAAATAATTAATGAATTATGAAATATTTTCTAATCTATGTTGATTGTCGCAGGTCTATGGCACTGATAACAGAACTAGCTGGTGGTGGTGAACTTGTTAGAGATAATTTATTAAGAAAAGAACGATACGGCGAAAGTGAAATTGCAGGATATATTAGACAATTGCTTCTGGGGCTGCGTCACATGCACGATTCGAATATTGCTCATCTTAGTCTTACAGTAACTATTTGAATTACAAAATAAAATTTATTATAAATATATATAACAAGTATTGGATTATTTTCTTGTTCTTATTTGTAGATAGGTGACTTGTTAGTCGCGCATGCAGGCGGTCGCGATTTGAAGATTTGTGACTTTGGTCTTGCTCGTCGTGTAAATCGCAGCAACCTGTTCCCACTTGACTTTGGTATGCCCGAGTATGTCAGTCCTGAAACCGCCTTAGGTATGATTGTTTTGTATTTTTCAACATTTTCCTAATTATTATTCTATCATATCATTTGATTTCATATAGAGAATATATATCTTAAGATATTATACCAAACTTAATTTTTAATTTTAGGACAAGGTGTGGGCTTGGCTTCAGATATGTGGTCTGTAGGCATAATCACCTGGTTACTATTAGGCGGAAAATCGCCATTCTTGGGAATGCATGACGTTGAAACCTTAGATAGAGTAAAAGATGGTAAATAAAAAAAAATATGTTCAATATTACATAAATATTTAAGATGTTATTCAATATACTCGAGTTATTTAATATGTTATCAACACGTCATGAAATTTGTTAAATGTTATGAATCTTAATATCAGTGTTATATAATAAATATTTTAGGTAAATGGTCATTCGCTAACGATGAAGAATGGTGGTCGCATATCAGCAGTGAAGGAAAAGATTTCATAAGCAAACTTTAGTATATGATCAGAATCAAAGAATGGATGTCATAACTGCATTAGACCACCCATGGTTAACTAGACGTCTTATGATCGATCAAGACGAATTTATGATAACAACGGATCGTTTAAGAAATTCGTATAATTTCGTATATATCGATTCCTAATTATCCAAACTACATATGAAGTTTAAAATAATAACGAAAATAATATTTCAGATATCGGTCTTGGCAATCAAATGCACAATGTCGTACTTGGTACCGCAGGCGTCCATTAAGCGGCGCTTATACCGATCCATCAAAAATGGTGTACCCACCAGGTCATGTTTACACTCCAGAAGATACTCCAGAACGCAGTAAGAATATACGAAAATTTTTAAATATATTTCTGATGACTTTCTATTACTTTAAACTTTATCATATGTAATGAATACTTTAGTTGATATTGGAAATTAATATTTTTAGTAGATATTGGGAAGAAAGATCGCAAACCAGGCAAATGGGATAATGAAATTCCAACTAGGGAACACCCAGATTACGAAATTGGCTTATTCAAATCTGAAAGCCAGTAAGTACTATTTTTAGAGTCTAATATCATATTTATTGTTATCTAGTATTATATATGTATGGCTATAATTGTCCGCAGTTATCAAAATGGTCCTGACACCTACCTTTTACAATTGAGAGATGTAGACTTTCCTGTTAGACTTAGGGAATATATGAAAGTAGCTGCCACTAGATCTCCTGGTTACAGTCACACACTTACCGATCTTAGTAACTATGATTGGAGGGTGAGTCGATGATTTGATTTTCATTAAATAAAACATGTAACAATTATTAAAATACAATAAACGCAATATTAACAGTTATTATCGTAAAACGTATTTTATACTAAATATGCATGTATAAGTAACAATGCAGCACTTCCACAATATCTTAATTTGTAATCATATTGATTTGCATTTTTGTAAGGATATTTCAACGTTATACACAAATAGTGCGTTTATTTAATTTATGTTTTTAGACACCTGTTATTCATGAAAGACGTCGATTCCACGATATAATGGATGAAGAAATTGATGATGAGAGAAAAGAGAGAATAAACCGATATGGGTCCGCTGATGTGTACTCTTTAAGACGCCTGAGAAATGAATTAGGAACGAGGTATCTGACTCAATGTAATATGTAGTAGATTCCAAAATTTATTTTGTTCATTATTAGTATAAAATCGGAATGTAACTTATTTTCAACTTTTGAATTTGTTTTCTCTGTAGAATAAGCAAATTGAATAAGAATATATGCTGAATATTGATTTTTTTCTCTAACATATTTAATAAAATGAATAATGTAGGCATACATCTGAAATTACATAGCAGAAATGCTACTGATTCAAATCATAATTCTAATTAAACTAAACTAAATTCCGTTTAATAGATACTAATATATGGCAATGTTTTTAATCAGGTTGGATAGCTATGCAGAAGCAGAAGCGATGATAGAATCGCAGAAAGTAGGCAAAGCCCCATTCTTCCGTGAGAAACCTCGTAATATTGCAATTGTAGCTGGTCGTGATGCCGAACTTAGCTGCTTAGCTACGGGAGATCCGAAACCAACTCTCCAATGGTTCAAGAATGAATCAGTGTTAATGGAAAACAAACGCATAACTGTCACAGAAGATGAACAAGGTAAAGACCACCGCGACCCCATAGGTTTATGTTAACGGAACATAAATGAACTTGATGCTCATGTGTATATTTTTTGATACCGACCCTTGTATTCAAATCATCATTACCCTATATGCTTAGTCGCGTGTTATTTATTTTATTTTGATGTAACAAAAATGCTACGAATAAATAAATCAATGGTTTTTAATATTTTTTGATAATATTAAAAATTTCACATTTAGTTTTCAAGACACTTGCGCTGTTACTACTAATGCTCAAAATATACTCAAATTATATGCATGCCATTTATTCGCTCATTTTTCTATAGTCGCAGCACACTGCGATTCACACCTGCTGCTGAATTTGATGCCGGCTCATACAAGGTTGTCGCTCGCAATTCTGTAGGCCAGACCATACATAGAATCCGCGTGGCTCTGGGAACGCAACCTGATGCACCTAACACTCCCAAATGCATAGAGAAATCTGACACCGAAGTACTCTTGGAATGGCGTGAACCCAGACACGATGGAAATAGCGAGGTTAGTAATAAATTTATATATTAGATGATAATTTAAAATTGATTTAAATCCTTTAAAATATCTTCGAGAAAGAGTTCAAAGTTTCATACAAGGATCGTTAACCTCTGACGCCATATTATTTTCGAAAAATTTTTAGCTCAGATTTAGTAACCTAGAAGACTAAATATTGTTGTAGATTTTAAATACCTACGTACTAAAGCAAAATACGCGTAATCTCATCGCAAAAGTTATTTGATATTTATCCAACAATTTATATAAAATACTAATAAGAATGTTAAAAGAACATGTTTGAGAAATCGCGTGAGCCACGATATTTTCGAGATCATCCTAGTTGGATTCATTGATAAATGTTTTTAAAATGCATATTTATTATGTAGAATTATTTTTCCGATTATGTAAAAATAGCATATATAGTTTGTCATCAACCTGCATTTTCTACGTATGCAAAACAATAAGGTAAGTTTTTCGTTTTGCGCATGTAGAGTGAAGCAGTTTTCATATATCTAAAAACTACTCTAATTGTTTTTATTATAATGATGTTTTGATCGCTGATGTTTTAATTTAGTAATAACTAAAGTTTTATTAACTACAATCAGCATTAAAAACATGGTATTATGAATAGCTTTTTAGCTTCATTTCAAACATATAATCACTTATTGTTACTCGCCCAGTTTCGTCATAATGTCAAATCGTCAGTAATAAAATTTAGTCATTTAGAAAATGTAGAATCTATAATATATTCATACAGATATAAAAAAAGTTATATAATTGGACATCTTCAAGGATTTGAAAAAATTGAATATATAACGGATATAAATTATATGCAATTCGTGTTATTGTGTTCCATAGCATTTATTTATAACACCTTGTTTTTTTTTATTGACGATGCATGTTTTATTTGTTGCCTTATTGTTTACATTTGACATATTATTTTTTTAAACACTGATAAGGTCTTTGAAATAAGCATGGCTGAAACGTGTTAATTGTTTTATGTTTGCATCGTGAAAAAATATTTTGAAGCAATTGCTCTAATATTACAATGCACAATTTATATGAAGCGGGTGAAATGTGTGCTGATTCTTCACAAATATTGAAATTTCTCAAAATACATACAATACAATACTATTTATTCATCATTGAAAAGGACTTTATAAAAAAATTGAATTAAGTTTTTATAAATGCGCTTATAATGTAAATTAACTTTAAGTGACCATACGTTTCGCATTGGCCGGGACCGTCCAGCTTTCCACCTTGCGTCGCAAATTTTTATTGAGAAAATATATTTGTGCCGGATTCAGATTTTTTGTTCCGGATCATCCCAAGTTTTTGTAAACCGTAAATGGTTAAAAGTGGAAGAAACCTTCTAAAAAAGTTCTATTCTTGAGAAAAATATAATATATTATATAGAGGAGACAGGACAAAGTTGTGCCACTTTTTTGATCAGAAATAATTTTGTTAATTAACAAGTTAGCTGGAAGGTATAAACACCAAAATAAAGGTTTTAAAATGACTTATAGTCAGAAATATGTAACACAACTCAAAACAGTCCTAACGTAACACAAATAAACTCATGAACATTTTAAAACAATATAAAACAAAACATAATTTTTAAAACAAAGTTAACAAAAAATTTTGTGTAATCATATTACTATTCAGTTATTTAACAACAACCCACTACAAGTGTTATCTTCTAGGATTTTAATTACAACTAGTGGGGCGCATGGCATCGTGCCTTAAGGCAAATTGCTGGAACTTCCCGTACCAATTTTTTTTAAAAAAATATTAACATTGTTGAAAAAAAATACTCTGAGAAGTTAGATTTTTGAAAAACTATAAATTTTTGACAAAAATTTACTTTTTTTTGAAAAAAAGACTTTTTGAAGAAAAGTGTATTTTGAAATATTTTGGAAATTCTGAACTTTTTTTCAAAGCAATCGTACTGCTTTAACTGCATAGAGACGGATAAGCATTGGTACGGAACCCATAGGAATGTAAACAAAATTTATACTTATTGTTAAAATCTCTATAAAATATCTGATAATTTGATGTGCATATGTCTAATGATCATTTTTGACCGCCAGATGGCATTTTTTTTTACTTTTTTTACTAGATCTCCGAAACCGCTAGACCTACCTTCATGAAAATTTGATCAGTTTTTCATCTTGTTAATACAAGTAAAATGTTTTTTGAATTATTCAAATCGGACGCTTCGTTCTCTTAAAAACTGAGTTACCGTTTTTGGCACTTTTTGCCCCATATCTTCGGAACGGCTAGACCTGCCTTTGCCAAAACTAATCAGCACGTCTCCTTATCAATACGAATCGAATGTTTTTTGAATTATTCAAATCGCTTCATCCGTGTTCTCGAAATCGTCGACGAAAATTTGTATCGAACACACACACAAAAAAATAGTCCTGAAATAATAAATTTTGACTCAGTAATTTTGGTTAAAAATAATTTGAATAAAAAATATTTTTATTATGTTCTTGAATAGTATTTGTGTGCGTTTTAATATACAAACAAATATTATTTAAGGATATAATAAAAATATTTTTTTTAACCAAAATCAATGAGTACAAAATTTATTATACGTTTTAGAACAATATATATATATATATATATATATATATATATATATATATATATATGTTAAAGTAGTTAATTTTGATGTTGAGAAATATGAGTAAGTTCTTCAAGGGCATACATCAAATAATTATGTTCCTTGCGCTAGCTACTGATGTAAGACCATATTTATATCCACTGATGATGACATAAAATACTATGTCGAAACGTTTGGAAAAATTAAAGATTAACTTCTAAATCTTTGCCTTTTATTTGATGTATGCCCTTGAAGAACTTACTCATATATATATATATATATATATTATATATATATATATATATTAATTGTTTAATATGAACAAAACAGCACTCAGATTTGTTTAACACAACTTTATTTTATGATTACAGACGTTTCGAGACCATGGTGTGTCTCATCTTCAGTGTAATTTCAAAAACAGTTACTTATATACTACACATTCTTTAATAATTTATTTAAATTTCATTTAATTTTTGATATACAAAAAAACACCAACTATTCCTTGCAATGCTTGACACAGTACTAAAGAAACATATAACACTTACAGAAATATTCTAAACAAATTTGAAGTACTTATCTAGATGGAGACAGAATGGGTATCATTATAATGTAAACAAAAGGAGTGCTATCGCATACAAAAATCGATAAAAATGAAAAAACAAATTAATTTATTGAAAAAAATAAGATAAATGAAAAAATTTATAAATTATTAATGATGTTTATATACGTGTCATGTAAAATATTTGTGTCGGTTCTTAGATTTATGCTATTGTTAGTCCGAACTATAAACATTGATTCTGCCATGCTCCGTTTAAATAAGTCTTTCTCATGGAATAAAATATGGGGATTGTCAAAATCAAACTTATGGTTGTTGATATTAGCATGATCCACAAGTGTACTTTTAAATTTTTTGTTATCTATTTTTTCACATTGTAATTCATGTTGCCTGAGTCTCTTTTCTAAGTTCTGGCAGGTCTGGTCAATATAAGAGCAATTACAATCCAAACAATTTACTTTATAAACTATATCTTTCTTTTTTGTTAATGGAATTTCATCTTTAATTTTGGAATATAAAAATTTTAATTGTTTTAATGAAGAAAAAGTAATACGAATATTGTGTTTTTTGAAAAGTCTTTTTGATAATTGGTTAAAATTATTGTCAAGATATGGAAAATTAATGAAAAAAGTTTTTTCAGGAACACTTGTTTTGCCAGGCTCTTCCGGTTTCTTATCAAAAGGTTCAAGTAATTTTGCGACTCTATTTTTAATAATTGGACAAATTAACTTATATGGAAAATTATTGCCAAATCGGACGCTTATTTTTCTCAAAAACTGCCATTTTTTGTACATTTAGCTCGGTATCTTCAAAATGGCTGGACCTGGCTTTGCCAAAAGCTAATCACCACTTCTGACAATCATTACAAATTGATGTTTTTAGATCATTCAAATCGGATGCACCGTTTTCTCAAAAACTCGATTTCTGTTTTCTGCACTCTTTGTTCTTTATCTACGTAACGGCTGGACCTGCCTTTGCCAAAAACTAATCAGCACATCTTCCTATCAATAGGAATCGAATGTTTTTAAAACAGTCAAATCGTTTGATCCGTGCGCCCGAAAACGTGAGCGAAAAAATGCGGACACACAAAACATACCCACATCCATTTTTCTGAGGTATGCCAAAATGTTCAGAAACCTTCAAAACGTGGAGAAATGCAAAAAATTTCATTTTCGATTTTCGGCCCATTACTATAACTACCCCACGGGAAGTTAAAAATATGTGTCACCTTAATTAACACACAAACTTCTTGTAAAATAATAATCCAAACGAAGAACAGCTATTATTACGCCGTTTATAGCTCATTATATTATTAACTTCCCGTAGAGTAAATTATAGTAATCACAATCGTAAATGAAAATGTTTGCATATAACGTTTACGTTTCAGAGGCTTTGAAACATTTTTTTGTGTATGTATGTGGGGATACAATTTTTCGTGGGCGATTTCGAGAACATGGGATCACCAATTTCAATGATAAACATTCGATTCCTATTGATAAGGAGACGTGCTGGTTAGTTTTTGGCAAAGGCAGGATTAGCCGTTTCGAAGATACGGGGCAAAAGGTGCCAAAAATCAAAAATGGTATTTTAGTTTTTAAGAGTCAGACTTGAAAGATTCAAAAACATTTTACTTGTATTTAAGAATGAACAACTGGTGTTTATGGAACAACAAATTTTTGAGAAAGCAGGTTCAGCGTTTCTTGAGATGCAATGAAAAAGTTGAAAAATAATGCTATTTGGCGGTCAAAAATGATCATTAGACATATGCCGTCATATTATCAGAAATTTTATAGAGATTATAATAATAAGTACAAATTAATGAGTACTTTTATTTGGATTCAGTAT